GTGGGCAGCACGGTACAGCACAGAGACGACGCAGTGTCACGTCGTCTACTGTGAGCAGCACGGAGACAACGCAGTGTCACAGCTCTTCAGGGTCGTCCGGAGACGATGTAGTGTTACAGCTCTTCAGGGTCTCCCAAGTCGTCTGGAGACGATGCAGTGTCAGCTCTTCAGGATCATCTCGAGATTGTGCGGTGTTTCAACTCTTCAGGCTCTTCAGTTGTCTTCCTGGTCTGTGTCGTCGTCTCGGTGGTCTGTGTCATCTGGCTACTGTGGGCCAGGCATCGTGGTTATATACACTCTGGTGGGTTGTAAACGGTGGGTCGTGATTGGTTGTAAACGGTGGACTGTGATTGGTTGTAAACGGTGGGCCCTGATTGGTTGTTAACGGTGGGCCCTGATTGGTTGTTAACGGTGGGTTATGATTGGTTGCTTTTGGACCAATCATGAGGTGCCGGATATGCAAATTTGAGGGATTCTAGTGGCCAATCAGAGCAAGGTTTCGAAGGTCAGGTTTTTGGAAGGGAACCAATCATGGTAATTGTTTGCTCTCTGAGAAACCTAGGCAGACTCGCTGGTGTGCAGCTTCCCACAGAGATCGAGTAATGCGTCAAAGATGAGTCCCAGGTAGGAAGCGAGACAATTCCTGGGAGTTGACAACTTAAGCTTCACAGTATGGTTTCCTTGTTACCCTTTGTAAATTGAATTCTAGTCAGTAGATATAAACTCCTGCAGAGTTTTACCCTTTTTTCTTTTGTAGTAGAAAAATTAAAAACAGAAACAAGACAATAGTAATCCTATCACCCGTTATATTTTCTGTGTATATATGTACACACACATAGACGCACACACATATATACATGTATATAAAATGTATATACATACATATATGAAAAAGGAATATACAATTTATACATTTCGTTTATGTATGAAATAAAATTACATATATATTTGTCATATAGGTTTTTATATTAGATAGATTTCTTTCCTTCAACATTTCATTTTGAGGACTTGGTACATAGTAAGTGCTCAAATTATATTTATTGAATGATTGAATGGTAATTTGAGAGGTTTTTGCTATAGGGCATGCGCACTCACTAGAAAGACAGAGACAGAGAGACAGAAAGTGAGAAATCACTCTCCAGGGGGGATGGCCACGATGCAATCTCTTCTCCTCCATTCTCCTGTAGGGATCTTGGGCATGCACGCACACATACCAGATATGAGGTTAAGTCATCGGGTCCGGGACTCAAACTGTGGTCGACCACAGGGAAGTCCAGCGACATAACCATTATGCCAACTACTGGTCCCTGAATGGTAATTTTATATTGTCTTTTTATCTTTATATATTTTAATACTTTTGCTAATTTATAAAGCAAATAATTAAAGATAACAACTCTAATGTCTCTACATTCTATTGTTTGTTTGATCTTATGGCTATGTTTTATCTTATTCCTTATTCCTTATTCATGGGTTAGAAGAAGTACAAATTTAAAATATATAGATATGGGTTTCTCAGGATGCCTTTTTGATACAAAAACTACCTAGACACCCTCTTAAACTGCGATTTATTAATATGACACCAATTTATATGGAATTAGTAATTGTTGAAACATCCAAACATTTGAGTCATTTGACCAAGGTATTATCACTTAGCAAACACCAATTTCTTCCCTGCCCACATTGCAGGGAGGAGAAAAGCAAAAAATCATGTTGAAAATGTTAGCTCATTTGATAATCTGATCTGCCTTCTGTTTACTAGAGTATCTTCTGGTGAGTACACCACTGGGTACTTGGTGTACTCGGTATACTTAGAGTATGCAGAGTATGGACTCCTAGCCCAGAGCCCTGCACAGAGCAGGTGTACGAAAAGTACCTTTCAAGTGAACAAATAGGAATATAGCATACACGGACACAGTAATATCTCCTTTCCTTTCTTCTTTTTTTGCTTCTTTTTCTCTCCTTCCCTCTCGTGGGGTGTGTGTGTTTTAGACAGGGTGTCGTTGTGTCCTGACCCTCTGCCCTCTGGGACCAGAGGTAGGCCCATGCTACCACCCTGGCTCTGTCAGGGTCTTCCTCTGTTGCTCATGCTTGCCTGAGCTCTCAATCCTGCTGCTTCTGCCACCCCAATAGGTGCCACCGCTCCCCCATCTAGCCTTTTCCTATGGGCCAGGAAGAGAACCCAGACCTCCTATGTGGCCTCAGTCTGCAGAGCAGCCTCTGGGTATGGTGGCTGGGCCTCATTTATTTATTTATTTATCTATTTATTTTAGATGTTTTTGCTATAGGGCACATGCGCTCGCTAGAAAGACACAGAGAAAGAGAGAAACAGAAAGGGAGAAATCACCCCCGGGGGGGATGGCCATGTCGCAATCCCTTCTCCTCCATTCTTCTCCCAGAATCATGGGCACGCACGCACACATGCCTGGTGTGAGTTTAAGCCATCAGGTCCAGGACTTGAACTGCAGTCGACTACATGGGAGTTCAGTGACATATCCATTACGCTAACTGCTGGTCCTGACCTCCTTTATTTTTAAATGAAAGGATATTTTCATTCCTCTTCAAAGCGAAGTGGATATTTACTACTCGTTAGCCACTTCTTAATTGTCACTAACAACTGAATACAGGTTCATAGAGTTTTCCACATTTAATACAAACCCTTATATTTAGCTGATGGTATTTCCTTTCTTCCGAGTCAGAATTAATTGTCGGGAATAATGAGGCTATCACTTGGTTTTATGTCTATTCCCTTTCCCATTAGGGAAAAAAATCAAAGGCAAGGGAAATTGTGCAAATTGTTAACCCAGAAAAACAACAGGACTGGTGACATATGTCATGTTTATGTTTCTATTTCTCAATCAAGACGGCCTGAACAGTAAGAACTCGAAAATTAAGGAAATGAGGATCTTTTCCTAGGTCACTGGCTCTTGTAAGAACTAGACTCTTCCAATAGATGGCGCTGTTTTCTTTTATCACCACAAGTAGAGTTCGTGAATATTTGCCTCAAGAGGTGTTTATTTTTTGTTTTGTTTTTAGTTTTACTACGGGTTTTGAAAGCTGCAGGTGACAATGATTAAAGTAATGAAACCGATGTTTCTTTCAATTTCCTCTAAAGAAAAAAAAGTCACTCTCGGGGGCTTCCAAAAGCCCCAAATGGGGAATATCTGCTTGGCTACAATATATAGCAAAGTGTTACACACCACGCTAGACTGTACTCTGACCAACCTCCCCATTTCCTAATAGGCGTCATTACGAAGCTAACTGATAGTAATGTTTGGAGAAAATGATCTAGCAAGAACTTCTGCCTCTAGAGAAAGAAAACAAAGTGAAAATAAAACGTTGGCTCCAGAATTCTCATTTTCTAAATTCTGCAGATGCTTTACCTTGTAGGTTAGTAATGAACTTTTTAATTTACACACTCTGTTTCAATGGTAACACCTAAATTTTTGCAACTCCGCACGACTTTTCAATACCTTGAACAGATGGCTGGGTGCTGTCACATGTCTGACGCGACCTAAACGCAGCAGACACTAAATTCGAGTAGAAAAGGAAGACAAGATTGTAATACCAGGGACATATGCTGGCGTTGTTAATAAAGATGGAAGTGTTAATTAGTGGAATGATATCTCAGGTGCTTTATCGTCAAAATACTGTGTTAGCGAGAGCAGGCCAGGCTGGGTCTGAAGTATCCCTTTGTAAACAAAGTCTCACGTTGCCTAGGGCCCAGTGCGTCCTCTGAAAGCTCCAGAAACAGCCAGATTTGGTCATTGAGTCCTCCTAGTAATATTCAACTCATATTAGAAGGTACAGCGAATGTTAAGTCTTAGGGTATTTTCATCAATTCTCAACTTTCGAGACTAGCCGCAGGCACTTCCTTGCCCACGCTGTACCTCTGGGCCTGGGCTTCGCACCCGCCTACCCGGTCCCAAGCCGCGAGGACCTCAAGCTCCGGCCTGGCCTCGGCCCCATGCACACTTCAGATGCAGGTAAAGGCTGCCGGCCCGGGGACTCAGACGTGCTGACAGGTGGCCTGGCACAGCCTCTCTGTCTCCCAGGGCGGCGCTCGCCTCCACCCCGGGACCAAAGCCCGCAGCCGGCGCGCGACAGGCGGGTCCGCTTCCCAGAGGTGAGCGAGACCCGAGAGGGACGCCAGACGAGCGGCGAGCCGCTCCAGCGCCGGACCCGCGCAGAGAGAGGTCCGGCCAGCACTTCTCCCGCTCCGCGGACAAGGGCGGTAAGTTGCCCCGCGCCCGAGCACGTCCAACCCCGAGCTCTGCCCTTCGCCCTTTTCCGCCCTTCGCGCGAGTAACCGCTAGATCCCCTCCTAGCCTCCAGAGGCGATGATCCTGGGTCCCAGGGTCCCACTAGGGCCAAGGGGTCACCTGGTTCAGCGACCACATTCCCAAGGACGAGCAGCGGGTGGCAGCACCGCTCCCGCTCGAGCGCCCCCGGATTGCCTCCAGCCGGGACTCCGGCGTCGCGAGCTCTCCGGCCCATCCAGAACACGCAGGCTGCAGCTGGGAGGAATTCGCCCGCACCCCCTCCCCTTCCCCAAACTTCACACTGTTGGGCCGTTCCTCCAACCCGACCCCTCTGCGCCATCAGGCTCCTCCCCCTCTGCTCCCCTCCCCCTTTCTGGTCCCCACTTAGGAATCCGTCCCCCCTCCCCGGCAGCCGCCTGCC